GTGGAGTCAATGCCAAGAAGAATCGCCGCAGTATTGAAGGCAAAAGTGGCCCAACGAAGTACTGCTGGGGTGTTCATAATAATCTGGCCACTCATAATAATATATAACCCACATTCAAGGGCTGTTAAATGGTGTTATTTACCCATATCCTCAGAAAAAAATCACTTCCACTGTTGTGGTAAACAACCTGCTTCCCTATTTATAATGGTCTGGCCTTCTAGCAACTTCAGCGTGAAATTATAGCTAATTTGCCTACAAACGTCAGGTGGTCATAATAATCTGGTCACTCAGTGTGTGTGTGTGTGTGTGTGTGTGTGTGTGTGTGTGTGTATAACAATTAGTAATTTAAAAAGAAAGAAAAGGAACCTCTAAAGCACAGAGAAAAGAACCAAGGAGACACCCCCTCAGGTTAGAGTAGCTGCATTTAGGTAATTGAGTGCTGAGGATGTTTTTCTTCTTTTTCTCCAAATGTTTCTTCTTTTAACATTTTCTAAATTTCCTTTAATGAGCTTTATTACTTTTAAAAATTAAATGTAATGATGTCTTATTTAACTCAATATATTCAAAATATTATTTCAACATGTATTCAATATAAAAATTAAGATATTTTACATTTTTCATATGCAAAATCTGTGTATTTTGCACTTATAGCATATTTCAATTCTAGTTACATTTTTATTTTATTTTATTACTTTTACAATAAATAAAAGCCCTCTCTTTGTAATGGCCCCAGCATTACATGGTAGAACAGAGGTTGGGAGGGGGCTGATTGGAGTACCCAGATAGCAGGGCTGTCTCTTAGGTAGCTGTCACCGAGGAGTGAAAGGAGGTAATTGGCAGGCAGCAGCTGTGGCCTCAGCACCTGCACCTCGTGGGGCAAAGGAGGAGAAGTGGGTCACCAACCCGGCTATCTCACCACCTCCCCTTTTCTTCCAGGTGCTTACACCCCAGAGCCCCTCAGCAGTTTCCGGTGGGCCCTTCTCTCAACTGGCCTCATGTTCTTTTATCACTTCAGCATCTTACAGATCCTGGGCCTGGTAAGTTCAGTTCTATCCCCTTCTATCCCCTCTGTTTGGAGTTCTCCATAAATCTTGATAATCCTGGTTGGCGCTGGTGTATCGTTTTGTTTTAAAAATACAAGATGCCAAAGGCCAAGATGTCAGATTGTTGTGTCTGGGTTACTGATTTATGATCTATAGCCTTGGCTTCTCTAAAGAGTTTTCTGAATCCTTTAGTATTGGCTGTTTCTTTCATACATCCGGAGGCAAGGATGCCGCCTTTTACTCCTGGCCACTTGGGTTGGAAACAGTGAGCTGCAATTGGAAGGTAGTTTGCTGTGGATCCCATGGGGAGGAGGACCCTAACCCTCACTCGGGGCCTGGGTAGGCTTTTGAGCCTATTCCCAGACCTTGAGATATGTGGTCAGCAGAAGTGCAATGTTGGGGGACCCCTGTGGCATTCTGGGCTGTTCAAACCTGTCTGGAGTGTGGATGATAGCTAGACTCAGTAGTTGAGTTACCCAGAGCTCAAGATTGCTGACTGCATGGTTGTCTATTGGTGGCAAAGTGAATGTAAGGAGCTCAGGGCTGGGGCTGGGGGTCAGGAGACCCAAGTTCAAGTCCTAGCTCTGCCACTGCTCTGGGTAAGTCACTTCATTCTCAAGGGTGGAGAGGTCTCCACCCCTCTGTGACATGGTACAAAACCCCAACCTCCCCAACAGGTGGTGAGGACTTCTCTTTAATGTGAATGGGCTTGAACGGCTTTGGAAGGAAGGTGCTGTGGCGTCCTTGGGGCAGGAGTGGCATGTCTGGTTTTGTGTGTGAGTGGCAGTAATGTAGCATTTTCCTTGTGGAGCCTTTCGGGACCTGGCAGGTTTAGGGCATGTAACCGATGTCACCAGTGCCTTTGTAGAAGCAGTTACCTTCTCTTCCCCACCCTGGCATGTTATTCTGCTATGGTTTACTTTGGAGTGTGGTTTGCACTCCTGGCTGAAGGTGTGAATGCTTCATGCACAATAGGAATAAAGTAGTATGATCTTCACACCCTTATTCATACTGCTCTCTACTGAGTCTCCTTGATTCCAGAGAAGTCAGTGTCCTCATGTCACCATACTCAGTCCCACTTCCGGGCCTGGCTTAGGCCATGCCTCCTACAAGGAAGGCTCTGCTTACTCCATTTCTTGCCATGACACCCATCCATCCTTCATGAGTCCATTCAGGCGCCACTTCCTTCGTGAAATCATCCCTGAAGACTTGGCCCCCATTCTGTACACTCTGCAGATCTCCTGGTGGGGAACACCCGGTGAGCTCCGTCTGGTCTGAGGTCAAATATGGCAAATTGATCACCCCAACTTGATTGGTTGCCAGTTATGTGGAGGCAGGGACCATGCCATTGACTGTTCTTTTCTCCCATAACACGTCTCCAGGAACTAGGCACATAGTGGATGCTTAGGAATAGCAACGGGCCCTACACTCAACCTAGAAGGCAAGATGGAGCAAAACCAAACAGCTTTTCCAGTGGACGGCCTTCCCCATCACCTCCTGTGGGCTCTAGCCTTGACCCACTCCTAAAACCTAGGGGAGAAAAATCCCGTTTATGAGCAGGTGGGGATTTGTCAATCCCTACTTGTCTAGTCCCCCTTTAGGTAGAGATGGCTGAACTGGCAGAAGCCAGAGAAAGCCTAAGGATGGTAAACGCTCACTCTACCTCCCTTGTCCCTGCAGGTCACCGAAGTGAATTTGAACAACATGCTGTGTCCGGCCATCTCAGACCCATTCTACGGCCCCTGGTATCGCATCTGGGCCTCGGGACACCAGACTCTCATGACCATGACCCACGGGAAGCTGGTCATCCTGTTCTCATACATGGTTGGGCCCTTGTGTAAATATCTGCTGGATTTGCTCCGGCTTCCAGCCAAAAAAATAGACTGAAGGTGCTTTTTTTTCTCCCTGAGGAAACAAGTCCTGACTTGACTTGGAGAACACCCAGTTCTTAATGAAATCATGGGAGAGGGCAGTAGGATATTTGGTGTATTTCCTTTTTCCTCCTCTCTGTCCCTTTCTTCCACCACTCTTCCTTCCCCAGCTCTTCCTCCCAGGATGTCACCTGGAACCTGAGGTATAGTGCTGACGGCTGGATTTGTCCTCCTCCCCTTTGCTCTTTCTCCCTGCTCCTAGTGGCCTTATATGGAGAGACGGTAGTCAGTAGCTTTCACTGCTTGTTGGTGCTTTAACAATAGCTGGTTGAGGATAAAGGGAACAACAAGCAGTAGTACTTTTGGCATCGCAGTGATGAGATTGGTTGCAATTCATTTCTCCACTGCCAGGGACCTACAGATTTATGCTGGGGTCCCCTTTTGTCTCCAGCATAGCCCCCACCATAAGGGGACTGAGGCCTTGTTTCTATACCAGCGGCAAGCCAAGAGCCAAGGGACTTCCCAGCTCATGGCCAAAATAGAACTGGCCAGATTCTTCCCATTGGTGTCCCATGACTCAAAGCAAGCAGCCAACCAGCCACATTCTCCAGGAGGCTGCCTGCAGTGGGAGGTGGGGCACTACCCAGCCCAAAGGTTTGATTCCATTGAGGAGGATAGAGAGCTGTTGAAGTGGCAAATCCAAAGTGAACAAGGTTAAAATGTCCACAACTAATACTAAGCAGGACCCTGGGTACATTCTGCCAGTGGAGCTGAGAACTGACCCATATTCCAATCAGAAGTGAGCATAGAAATTAATCAGCAGAAGTGGTAACTTGAGAAAATAGTGATTTGAATCATATGCTCCAGTTTAGTTTAATATTGATAATAGATTCCTCTTTAATATTGAGTGCCCCTTAAATATTCTCTTTCTCTTTCTCTCTCTCTCTCTCTTTTTAAAGGCAGCTTCAGGGAAGGATGAGCTAGAGTTGTTGTTGTTTTGTAGGGGTTTTTTGTGTGTGTGTTTTGTTTTTGTTTGTTTGTTTTTTGCCTTTTGCCTTTTGTTTATTTGCTTGCTCATTTGTTTTAGGGTGTTTGAGTTTGGAGAATCCTTGCATCAGGGCCTATCTCTAGAGGGGCTCTTGTCAATATATTTTGTGGTCTTACAGGATATGTCAGCATCCAGGTTTGGGGAAGATACAGATCCTGCTGGTATTGTTTCCCTAGGTCCAGATGTTGTCACTGTAGCCAGACTCAGTGCTGAATTGTTTAGCTTGGGAGTCATCACAAGCTCCCCACCCCGAAGCCCATGTCTAGTTTGAAAGGGAGGTATCAAGGAATCAAGTCCCCAGGGGTGGAGATTCACATGCTCCAAGTGGAAGGCCTTTTGTTGAAAGACTTGAGCTCAGTCATGCATGGATCCCAAAAAGGGAGGCAGTAGCTTGGCTTTTGCTGATTGCTTGTTGGCTCATACTAAGAACAGATTTGCTTAAGAACAGAAAAGAACCCTGGCTGGTGTGGCTCAGTTGGTTGAGCTTTGTCCCATGCACCAAGAGGTTTGATTCCCATTCAGGGCATATGCCCAGTTTGCAGGCTTGATCCCCAGGAGGGGGCGTGTAGGAGGCAGCTGATCTATGTTTCTCTCTTTCCCACTTTTCCTCTCTCTCTCAAAAAATAAATTTTAAAAACATTAAAAAAAAAAAACACAGAAAAGATGGTTTAATGACTTCCTCTGGTGAGCCTCCCCTCCCATCTCCCCCTCTAGGCAACCCATTTGCTCTGGGCCTGTTCCAATAATTCAGGTGTTCCTGTATTAGATGTAGATTGAGCTTCGGTGACTCAGTGATCATGATTTTAGCAAATGGACCTATAGGAGGCAGTAGAATGTAGGAGAGTCTCTGAGTAAGGTAAGGCCCAGGGAAGCAATCATGGAACCACCCTTTTACAGAGGCCTGCTGGCACTGAGGTGATCAATCTCCAGGGGTTGGGGGAACAGGAGGCAGAAAACTGGGTACTCTTAGTTCCCATGAGCTCCTCATGACATGTAATCTTCATTTTCTGCTGTCTTTGCGGGCTTGGACAAGTTTTTCTTAGTGTCTCTCACCCTAGGGTTGCCTTCCAGAAGAGGCACCTTTTGATTGGCTTGATTTCCCTTGCCCACCATCAAACTGCTGTGTGTAGACTGGGCTGATGAGGAAATGTGCAAGGCCTCAGTGCCCCTCGGCCTCTTCACAAAAGAAAAAGTTGGAAGGAGGTCATGGGTGGAGCCCTTGAGGGCCTGTCCTGTCCCCTACCAGTACATGGAATCTTTGTAGGCAGATGATGTACCTCAGCTGACCACAGTGGCATAAGTGACTCTGAATGAGCTCTCTTTCTCTCTGTCTGTGTGGCATGGCACAGGTTGCCAGTCAGCCTGAGCTTTCCTTGCATTGGAATGCTTCTAAAAGCTTGCCTTTGCCCTGGCTACAGCTCACTGTCCCAATCTAGCTGGCATTTTCTGCTGCTTGGAAGAAGTGAGTGAAAGCCATGTGCCTGCTCCGGCCAGGCCAGAGACAGATACACCTGTCAGGGGAAGGAGGAAGTGAAGGGGAGATGCAGGGTTTCTGGGGGCCAGGTTGGCTCAGAAACATATAGGTAGAAGAAACAGAGAGTGAGCCTAGTCCAGAGGTTCCACAGGGAGCCAGGGATTGTGTTTGGGGTGTTAAGGAGCAGCATGCACCTGAATTGGTCTGTACCTCACTCTTAAAGGTAACCTGACCAGAACCACAGCAGCCTGCCTAGAGGGTGGCGCCCTTCCCAGTGGGCCCAGACTGCCTAGCTCCTCCCCAGAGCTTTCCTCTCAGTGCCAAGGAGGTTTCCCAACCACCCTAGCCAAGTTTCCATATGTCATTAGCCAGCGTGTGGGAGCTTGGTGTGTGTCTGAGAGAGTGTCTGTAGAAGTGGACAGTTTCTTTTAAAACAGCCCTAAGGAGAGAAGTGAGTGTTCCCTCAAGCCCCTGGGTAGCCTTGGCCAAGAATCTGGGCCAATGAAAACAGTCTGGTCAGCTGCTCAACTTGTGGCATCAGCTCATAATAGCAGAAGTATGGACCGTCTGCTTGTGGTCTCAGTATTTGGTTTTGTACACCAAAGATGATCTGGCCCATCTTCTTCCCAGTGATGCATACCTCTGTGCGCTTGTGAGAAAAGTACAGACTCAGTTTCCCCAAGTCAATATTCTCTCTCTATCCTTGAACTTCCCAGAATTCACAGAAGCTGCTTGCAGGGTGGTTGGGATACATGGGGTGGTCGGCACACTTTACCATCTAGTACCACAAGTCTAGGTATCAGATCATCTCTCTTGCCACAGCCTCAGCCAGAGCTTTGCTATTTGTGCTCATTGATAATTCAATGTTTTGGGGAGTGGGCACAACTCCCCACAAATGACAAGTTGTCAGCAGGTCTCCTGGCACTGTTGGGACTGGGTGGTGCCTGGAAGTAATCTGGGTGACTCAGTGGGTGAAAGAAGGCCCTTCCTCCTGCTCCCTTGGCCAAAAAGACTTCCCTGGATTTGTAGATGTTGATCCAGATTCATCTGTCCTCTTTGGAAGACTGAAGAGGAGGTATTGGAGGAGAAAAGAAGGGTAGATGCAGGGTAAGATGCAGATGCAGTGCTGGTTTTGGTAAATCTGGAGCAGGCATAAGAGAGGGGGTCCCACAGGCCCTCTCGTGCTTCTTGTCAAGGCCCCAGACTGAGAAGGGCCTTCCTGCTGCATGCCCTGCCTGCCCTCTGGATGGTGGGTAGAGTCCTGACAGGGAGTGAGCCTTCCTCTTCTGTATATAGACTGAGCCAGTTTGTGCTCAGGAAAACCTAGTCATTTGTTGTTGATCTTGTCTGTGACATTTTTGTACAGTGGATTGCTACTGAGTGGCACGAAACAAAACAAAAGTCATTTTAAGCAAAGCTCTTGTTTTGGAAACTTGCTTTCTTTTGGTGTCAGTTTTGTATTATATTTTAAAGAATTCTTCATTTATATTGGTGTTATTGTGGTACAGAGAATAAGATTGTCTGATCTGTAATTATCTCTGCCAGAAAATTGGCAAATGACTCTTTCCCTCTTACTGCCCCCCCTTCCCCCATCCTTCCTCATTCCCAAGACAGATTGCTATGCACTGGGCAGACCATCCCTGTCGTCACTCCTTCTCCTCTGTGACTCCCTTTAGGACCAGTCTTTCTAATCCCTTTAAACAGCAGCAGGGTGAGTATTTTTTCTAAGCTGGTTCTTGGGTGCTCTGTGCCCCCACCAGTTTGCTCACCTCTTGGGGCATTTTGTAACATGTTTTCCCAGTTTTCTATAACCTTTTGATTGTACTGAAATGGTTTCTGCAATCACCTTTGGAAATAAATAGTCATTAATTTGTGTACTTGGCATTCTGCATTTTAGTCTTAGGTGTTTTTATTGTTGAAGATCCCTGAATGGAAAGGAACCCTCACCATTGGACTTGCTGTTACAATGTTTTCTTCATTTACTGTTATTAAAAGATTTATGAGAACCCAGGAGTCTTGGCCTTGCTTCCCAGAACCCTCTCAGAAGGCCCTCTGCTTTGAAAAGTAGACAAAAGAGGCTGTTAGTCACACACACCATGGAGGGGACCACCAAAGGGCAGCTAGTGCTCTCAGCACAGCTTTGCCCTGGGATCTGTGTGGCAGGATGTGTGGCCTTGAATTCCCACATGCTGCCTGCTTCCACCAGGGCTGCCAGGGACCCAGGGAGTCTTTTGCTCTTAGCAGAGCTTGTCTGCTGGGGACATCTGCTGGGTTCATTGCGCCCATGGTGCATGGAGCCAGGCTGGATGACTGAATTAGAGAAGGCGACTTTGAAGTCAACATGCTGAGGCTCACTCATCCCAAGTTCCCTGAGGACTGGCTCTGAGCTAGCACTCAACACAGGCCTGTGCCCAGCACAGGTCAGAATGGCCTATGGGGAGATGTGAATGCGATAACCCTATACTTTGGGAATAGTCAGACCTGCCTGCCCAAGGCTACCCACTGACCAGCCCATGGTGAGTCTGATTAGCCCAGCTTGCCTTTACACCAGACAGAGACCCTCCTTGGCATTTTACTGGTGTTGCTGCTTCTAGAAGGGACACAGCTGGCCAAAGTGGGACCCAGTGCTGGTGGATGTCCTCACTGGCCAGTATTTGGGCACCCAGACCATCAATGAGGCAGGGCCACAAAACCACCAGGTAGGACAAGTCATTTGTTCTTTTGCACCCCAGGTTCTCCATCTACAAAGCAGTAACTGTTATAGGCCATGGGAACAGCAC